AAAAAAAGACTCACCACATGCTGCCTCGGTATTTAAGAGTGTAGGGTCCACTCTCCAACGCCCTCCCGAAATGACTGTGAACCTTATGCCTCTCCCTCCCACTCTGATCCAGAAGAGTCAGCTCGAAAAGCGCTCTCACGTCCGTTCCCTCACTCGCGAGAGCAATAAAAAGCGACACATAAGTCGCATTATCCTCCACGCTCTTCCCGTCCGGATAGAAGTAAATTGCCCACGTGTACCCGCCGACCCTAAACGTATCCGACGCTATGTATTTCCCGATCCCCATGCCCTTCGACAACGAATACCCCGTGATCTTGAACTCGTGAGATCCATTGATGGTCGCCGTCGTCGACGTGGACGCCGTCACCGGCTCCGGCGAGGAAGAGGGCTTCGAGGCGTCCCTGAAAACCTTACCCATTTGGGGTTAAACGACGAATTGAAAAGGAATCGGGTCAGATCCAGGAGGTACTCGAACGGAAATTCAGACCGGAGAAGTACCGACGGGAAGAATTAGGGCGTTTATTAACGGAGTTGAATACGAGGAAATCCTAGGATCACAACTCCACCTGGAATCGGAGATCCTGATGGGTGTGATCGGATTTCTAGGGTTTCAGGGTGGACGATGACTATTATTAGAGATGAAGAGGGAAAGGCGATTATGGAAAGGGTAGAGAGAGAGAAAGTGGGAATTTTGCAGTGCCAACGGATTTTGAGTGAAATTCGAGCGGTATTTATAGATGCAGTCACAACGGAAATAATTGATATGAGAAATGCTAAGGTGCACTCACGGCCGCAAAATGAGACCACTACTTCCATAGGCGGGGCAATGAGATTGGATGGTTTGGTGAAAGAATGAAAAGTTTGTCCTCCTTGTTTGCTAGGTGGGCCCACACCGAGTTTGGAAACTCTGTTGAGTTTAGTCTAAGTCGAGTTATATCTTCGTTGTACCGAGTTTATTTTGCTTTTTATAGTATAACTTGAGCTTAATTTGACTCGACAATACTTTATAGTTATTAAAGATTAACATGAATATCGTCAGTTCAAGACGGAGTTGAATTTAAAGGGGATTTTGTGCAATTTTATATAAATGTCTCGAACCATGAGCTCCTCTCTTCTTTTTTCTCTCTCTCACAACCCTTTCTCTCCTTTAATCTCCACGTCAAACCAAGCTCCCCCCTTGTCCGTTTGTCGCGGTGGCTCACCACACCTCATGGCCATGAGTAGCAACCAACAGTGGCGGAGTTCCACACCTCGCCCCATTTGCCAGAGTTGTTCTGTCGGGACGACGACTTGGTTCTCCGGCGGTGTTGGTCAGGACGATGACAGTTGTTCATCTCGATACTAGTGGCCTAGGTAGGCTCATATTTAGGTCCGAGTGTTGTCTCTTCGTTAGATCTACTTAACCAGATTGAGTTGAACTGGAGTTTCTCGATCTAGTCCTATGGATTAGTGTTCTTCAGTTCATTTTTGGTATTTGCGAGCGGTTCGTGTGTTGGTTCATTTGGAGACAACGGTGCTAGAAGCAGTGGAGAAATTGGTCTACATGCATAGTCTTTTTTCTTATTTTTCTTCAGTTGTTCACAGTTCAGTTATGTTTGATTTTTTAGTCTTTGTGTATGGAGTTTTTTGTCTTCATCAATAGAACTGTAAAACTGCGTTTCAGGTGTTCGCGTCACTCCTTGGTTGATTTTGTAATTCGAAGAGGGTGGATCTAGATTTTGTTCTGCTTCTAGTAATGTCAGTTGACATATCGGATGTACACTATTTTTTAGTTTCCTAATATAACTATTCGTTTGATAGAAAAAAAAAAAAAAAAAAAAAAAGAGTTAAGAGAATTAATTAGTAATATTACACTTGAGTTACTTTTTCGAAGGTAATTGAGTTAACAAAATATTAACTCAAGTTCGAGTTCGAACCGCTCGAGAACTTTGACTCACGAGTGGTTGGACTCATTCCTGACTTTGCATGCTTGTGGTTGGTAGTTGGTCGCGTTGGTCAAATTTTACTTGGATTGGGAAGGGTGGACCAAACTTTATTAGCGAATGCTTTACAAAAAATTTAGTACTTAAATGTTTAAAACTTCACTAATAATTAGGTGGGTAGAGTTTTTTTTTATTTTTTTATAATATATAAAAACTTGAATAGTTATTTGGATTAATTTTCTATTTTGACTCATACGATATAAATTAAAAAATGGATTTTTGCTCAAGTGCCAATCTCCTCTATATATAATTCTCGAATGCGTTGAGCCTACGTGGCTGCTTCTGGTGCTTCAGAATCCTACTTGACGAAGAATCATGCTTCGTAATTAGGTTTGGACAAATAATATTGATATATTAATAATTAATAATCTAGGTTCGGACATTCCATAAATATTATTTAGCTAACTTGGGTATTTTAATATCACTTGTACTAATACAACCCTTTAATTCTTTGTAATTTTACACAGTGAGGCACTAAGTGACTAATATATCCCTGACTTTTGATTTGTTTCCTTCAATTAGCCATTGAATTATAAATGTATTTTAAAAGTTGATAACTTATATATTTCTTATCAGTTTTACATATATAATATATCAAATTAATCATCTTTTCATGATTTACGATTTGACATCCATATTGTATATATAAAATAAATAATATATATTTATCTTTATAATAATAATAATAATAATATTTATTAAAATTTATTAGAAAAATAAAATTATTTCTCAGTTGATATATTTATGTTTAATGTGGTTATATGTTGTAAGTTAAAAAAATTAGTATAATATAACACAAGTCACACAAATAAAAAGTGTCATACTAGATATATAATAATATATATATTTTAATAAAAGGTATTTAAAATATTAACTATTTTTTCTCATTAATTTTAGATTTTAAAGAAAAAATAAGCAAACACTCGTGTAATACACAGGCGTTGTACTAGTTTTTATGATTATAAAAAAAATGTTTATTCTCAATTCAACAAACTTGGCTTATGCCTAATCATCAGCTTGATTCGCATAGCTTGTAATAAAAAAAAAATTGTATTTTTTATGGACATTTGAGTCATCAAATTCATGGAATTTTGGACTTTTAAGGTACCATATATAGGAATCTAATTCCACACTTACTCAAGTTCTGCTACATTGTGTGCAACAGCTAATCAAGCTTTATAGATGCCATCTGATTATGCTAATTTTGAACAAAATGGAAGAAAAATGATTTGGGGAGATCAAAGAAATTATTGGTTTTCGTAAGCGTTCTTAGTTTATTCATTTACGACATAGTTCTTTTATTTTATATTGTACACAATGTGGTTCGATGTGTCAAACAGAAAAACCGCATTATCGGTGTCTTGTAAAATATAAATAAATAATTCACCGTCCAGACATAAATGAACAATCTGTTGGTAAAAGATTGTAGTTGTGATTTTGATTCAGTTGATCTTTGACTGATAAATTACATTAGTACTATGTAAGTGTTGTATAGACCACAGAGGAGGAGAAGATTATTTGAACACTGACCAATTAAATAATATAGACCTCAGAATTTGATATGTTCTCTTAAGCCGTAAGATAATAAACAAGCATATGTACTCTTCACTTGTTTATTTGATTTACCAAGGGTGATTCTTTTTTTAAGTAAGGATGACATACTCGATACTTTGGTAAATAATGATGTTTATATGATGTGTTGTTAAAATTATTTACGGTCACCATGACCCTGTATGTTGGGTTATTGACGTCCCCAAAATGATCCCAAGAAAGATTATTATGACAAGCATAGCTGGCCGATTAATTTTTGACATAATAGATAAAAAATAGTGGTACTATTGGTTAATTATACTGTCAGTAATAAAATTAATCAACGGACGTTATGAACAAGATTCAACATTTGGAAACATTTGTGATTTTCAATATTTATATGTTAAATGTTAAGAGATTTGGCATGCATCATTGGCTCGATAGGAGTATTCGAAACATGCTCACGGGGGATATCGGGTTTCAGTGTGAGAAATTTTTAATCACATAATTATAAATTCGTTAAAAATCTCCATAAAAGATTTATAAATTCCAGGATTAAAATATCATCACACTTATTATACCATCAAAGATTTATGAATTGAGAAATACATTGATCCATTAAGATTGAGTTTTCTAGATGCTTAATTACCTTATTGACGGATTGGATCACCACCACAACCTTGATCATGAATCTCACACAAGAATCACGAGCGGGTATTGATTTTATGGTCATTCTCAACTAAATCTCTCCATGGGAGAGTGAGCGTTCATCCAGTAATCAAATAAGGGCGATCACACTTAGATAGGCGAAACTAAGACTATTATCGGAGCGAACCAAACCAAACTTAAGGTTTTCGAGCTCGAGTTCGACTGATTTCCGAACATGTTTGTATTCGTTTATTTAATATTCAAACAAAAAATTTTGTTCGCGTTCGTTCGATTATTGGTGGCTATTGCCTTTTTTTTTAATACCGTACAAGTTATTTTATTTAATATTTATAATTTATATTAAATTATATATGTATAAATATATACTATATTTAATATATAAAATTAAAAAATGTCTTTTTGTTCGCGAACTTGTTCATGTTCGTTAGATAACTAAACGAACAATTTAATGTTCGAGTTCGGATTGATTACTAAACGAACAAGCAGTTATGGAACACGAACGAGGTTTGTTAGCGAACAATTTGATTCAATAACAGAACTAGGCGAAACATAAAATCATCAATTAAAGAAAGAAAAGATCTATCGTCGTTTAAAAAAAAAAAAAAAAAAGAGTACATAGATTCTAAAAGCACAGTGCCTCAACGTCAACATTAAAATTCTTTTATGTCACATGGTCGTACACAATTGGATTGTGAATTCATAAGCTTTTCTAAAAAAGCTCGAGCTCGAGCTCATCTCATAAGCTTTTTTGTTCTCTTTTCAAATAAGCTCATTGAAATTTTTATTTCAGCTACCTTATCAATTAATTTTACTAAACACTTTTATCATGTTAACTAGCTTTTCAGCTATAAGTCATAAGCTTATCAGCTATTAGTTAGCTTATCAACTAGTTTTACTAAACAAAACCCAAATGGCATGACATCTAAGTTTTATCTGTGTCAACAGTTCCCACTAGACATGCTCTAAGACCATCCTTCAACCCAACCCAACCCAACCCAACCCAACATAATAATTAAAAGGGAGAATTTTACACCTACTACACGATATGAAAATATTTTCAAGTTTACCTTCATTGAACAAATAATAGGAGATATACCTAATGAAGGTAATTTATTTATGACATTGCCTTAATATCCGTTACCTTTGTAACGTTTTCTCTCCAACAGATTGTCGTCCTCTCTCCAATAGATTGTGGCATGATTTCCGCCATGAACTACCAGAAAAAAATAAATAAATA